CATTACAATATATCAGAATTTCACCAAGAATCAATTCAATGCCGTATAACTCTACTTTAATAAAAATTTCCTAGGGTCATGATAAATTTGTGTGAAAAAATAAAATCACATTGTAAAAGAAAGGAAGTGCCTTTAGTTATTTGTTTTGGTACACACACACACACACACAGAGTCTCACAAGTGCATCTGGAGATCCACTTGTACCCACTCAATGAGGGTTTTATTGGGGCCACTGTGACTCCTCCGTGTAATGGAAGAGTTGAGAAAAGGCATAGACTCCTTTCATCTGCTCTGTCCCTACTCTATGAGAAGTGTCTCATTCACTTATGAGAATTAACTCATTCACTTATGAGAAGTAACTCATTCACTTACGCCCATCTCATAGGATTATTATGCACCAGGCTTGATAACAAGCAAACCAAAAAAGAACTACATAAAAATCATTGCTATGATCACTTTGGAGGCAAAGTATTAGCAATGATACAATAAGAAAGAGGTGATTTTTTTTGAGCCAGTTCCAAGTTTTCACCTAAAATGTATCAGTCATATCTTACTGCAAAGCCTTGACCTAAAAATACACTTAGAGGTAAGTAAATAATTCATATAATCAACATCAAACTCTGAAGCTAAGATACATTTTAATATTGTACTATAAGAATTAAAAGAAATAAATGACAAAAGTTCTGTGTACATGATAGAAATCTAGAGCTGAGTCAAACATTTATAAAACCCATTTTGCTAGATGCAATAAATATTAAACATTTACTAGCAAAAGTCTTGTTATCAGTTTTAGACTTCAAAGGAGTTTATGAAGACTTGTAGTGAACCAGTAAGCAAAATTTTTAGTGTGGCCACTTTACTGATTTAGTCATTGTCCCTGTGCTAAAAAGCAAATTGATTCAAAGTTGTTATATTTACTTAGGCATAGAACTTAAAACCAATAATCAATAGCTATCCATTCATCACAGGGCAAATCCACACATAAACAAGTTGACCATAAAGTTTAAAAACAATGTTAATAAAAGAGGAAAAATAATTTTCACAACAATATTGTGACGTCTTGCTGATTCAAGGGCTTGGACTTAGTGCCTTGTAATCTTTTTTTTTTTTGGGTCCAGTCGTGGGGCCTGAACTCTGGGCCTGGGTGCTGTCCCTCAGCTCTTCAGCTCAAGGCTAGCACTCTACCACTTGAGCCATAGCACCACTTCCGGCTTTTTTTCTTTTTGCTTATGTGGTACTGAGGAATCGAACCCAGGGCCTCAGGCATGCAAGGCAAGTGCTCTACCACTGAGCCACCTTCCCAGCCCCATGCCTTGTAATCTTGTTCAGTTTGTTTATGGCGGGCACACTGTCATTGAGCTATGCTTCCAGCCTGGCTTTTTGCTAGTTAATTGGAGATGGAGTCTTGGGAACTTTTCTGCCTTGGCTGTCTTCACATCGTATGTTCTGATTTCAGCTTCTTGAGTAGCTAGGATTACAGGAGTGTGCCCCTGGTTCCCGGCTTATATACAATATTATTATAAAGCACTTTCATTTTAAAAAGTCATTTAACATTCATTATATTTAGAAGGGAAATAAAATAAAGAGAACTAATAATTATGTGTCTCTCTGCCTTAAAAAAAATCTTAAAGAAGGCTAGAAGGTGTCAAAAATTTTGTTCAAGGTCATGAAACTAGCCAATAGAAGAAAAAAAAAAGAAACAGAAAAAAAAGAAAGAAGTGCTTGCTTTCAAATTTTCTTCCATCTGATTATAAGTATTGGGTTTTCTTCCATCTGATAATAAGTATTGGGTATGTGCCAGATGCCCTGAAACTCTTATCTCCAATTAACTACTAAAAAAAAAAAAAAAAAGAACCAGAAGTGCAGTTGTGGCTAAAGTTCTGGTAGAGCAACAGCCTTGACAGAAAAAGCAGCTAAAAGACAGTGTCCATACCCTTTGTTCAAGTACCCAGTAATAAATAAGTGAATAAATAAAAAATACTGCATATGTGGAGATGTACCTCCACCGATGATTTTTCTTTTATATTTCCTCAGAAAGTTCTGAAATTAACAGAGATCTCATGTGCAATTAGTGATGCCATCCTAATATCCTTTAATTCTTTTATTTATCCAATAATAGATTTAGCTATGCAAAATTTACCAACCCTAAAAGTAAGAAACCACCATAATGGATTCTCTTACATTTTCATGTAGAAAAACCACTATTTCGAGTAATTGCAATTGTTACTAAAGTTGTTCAGATTCTTAAATTAAAACAGCAAGAAAAAGGAGAGTTTTTTTTTCTTTTTGGTTAATGAAAAGCAAAATATGTTCCAGTGGGACAGCCTTTCAAAGGTATCCTATACATTATGATTTTTAGCAAAACAAGGCTGCCATATAAGCATTTTAGCCATTTACAGAGCTAATGCTATTATTAAGGAGCAAATGAAAAATGGCTGCCTAAAACTGAACTGCAAAGGAAAAACAGGAGGAGAATTGGACCTTTAATTTTCAATCAGTCACTGGAGTTTTGGAGCTTGGAGAAATTATTAACAAAGGCCTCCTTGTAAGTCCTTTCCCACAAGACAGTCCTACATAATTCAGGATACAGGAATAATGAATGCGGAGATGAGAGAAAATTGCCCCAGTTTGTGAAGGTAGAAGAGAATGTTTATGCTACCACGGAGACATGCAATTAAGTCAGACCTCTGTCACTTGACCTCAGCTGCCTTCATTAGTCAATAGCTTCAAGATTACTAACGTAATTACAACAAACTGTGTACATATTTATTTCTGAATGCCTATTTTCTTGAAGACCAGCTCCTTGAAGTGATGTGTTTAGCCAAGTTCATGGCCCATAACAGTACTCAGTTAACCTCCGTTTAACTTATAACTTACTATGTTCAAATGGCTTTGGAGTAAGAATTAAGTTGGGATCTTGACTTTTTCTACTGATCAACCATTACAAATATGAATGGGTCATTTATCTTTTAGGTGGTCAGTTTCCTTCTATGTGAAATAGGACAGTAAAAGAATTCACTCCAAAAAGAGGGCTGGTGTCTCACGTCTGCAATCCTAGCTACTCAGAAAGGCTGAGATTTGAGGACCAAGGCTCAAAGCCAGTCTATGCAAGAAAGTCTGTAAGGCTTATTTCCAATAAACCTCCAAAATCCTGGAAGAGGAGCTGTGGCTCAAGTGGCATTGGACCAGTCTTGAGCAAAAAAGCTAAGACACAGAACCTGAGCCCCGAGCTCAACCCCTTGTACTGGTGCTCGTGCGTGAGTGCTCACGCGCACGTGCGCACACACACACACACACACACACACACACACACACACACACACACACACACAGAATTTATCCCATGATTGAGAAGATTAGACAAGAAAATAACTGTGAAGCCCTTACTTAGCCCAAGGCTAAGCACAAAGCTCAAAGCACAGATCGGGTTCTCATGGCAGCAGATCTCATTTGCTTCTGTCTCTGTGGTGGGAGTTGAGAGGCTCCTCAGCTTTTGCCTTCCCATCACCTGGAGGAGCTGGCTGCAATGTGGATTGCGGAGCCCTGTCACCAGATACTATTTCTGAATTGGCAGAGGGGCATGGAGACCCAGAAATTTGCATTTTTAACTGGCAGCTGGAAGTAATTGTCATGCAGGGCGTCTTCAGACCACCCTTGGAGAAACACTGTTTTAGAAAAAGAATCCTCAATTCCTAGGCTTCTAAAGAGACCAGCAAACTAACAGGGAGTTTCAAGTTATTGTAGGATGCTCAGGGTGGATCATGGAAGTGAAAAACAGCTAGCATTTTGATCGAAGTCATACATTTGCATATATAATTCATTTCCAACCTGAAAAGACAGTAACATTTATACTGTGACTCTCCCCTACCTAGCCCCTGTCTTTCCACCTTTTTTATTTTCCCCTACTGTTCCCTCAGTAACTGGGCTTCTGATCCTCTTTTGCTGCATGATGAACTCTTCCTTAGAGATAGAAAATTCAAAAGCAAACAAAGTATTTGTAAAGTGAGAAAAGATGTCTTTGATTTTTAAAAGTCAGGCTTCATGCTTATCTCCCTCCCTGTAGCATACCTAGTGGCTCTAAAACCAATTATGATTTATTTCCCTTAGGCTTTAGAGCATAGGAACTACTACTAAGTGATCAGCTAGCAGACTAAAGCAAAGTCTGTTAGGGCTTCTCTTCTTTTCCCAAGCAAGAATTCTTAACAGAAAAGAGATGTGGATTAAAAAAAAAAAATGCTGGGGCTGGGAAGGTGGCTCAGTGGTAAAGCGCTTGCCTTGCATGCCTGAGGCCCTGGGTTCGATTCCTCAATACCACATAAGCAAAAAGAAAAAAGCTGGAAGTGGCGCTGTGGCTCAAGTGGTAGAGCTCTAGCCTTGAGCTGAAGAGCTGAGGGACAGCACCCAGGCCCAGAGTTCAAGCTCCACAACCGGACCACCCCCCCCAAAAAAAATAAAAATAAAAATAAATGCTCTACTTTGTCCTAGTCTAAGATGTTAACTACAGCTTTAGACTTGTGACCTCTCTTCCCATTCTTACGTCTGGTAATTATTTACTAGTAAAGTGAGACACTTGTACTGGGCATCAACGCATAGTCAGCCTGAAAGGCTAGTTTTACATGAGAGATGCAGGCTAGCTGCCAATAAGTTGTTAAGGTGTTGGGAAAGAAAAGGGGTGTGTGGGGTGGGGAGAGGGAGGTACTGGGACTTGTACTCAGAGCCATGCACTCTCATTTGTCTTTTTGCTCAAGGCTAGTGCTCTAACACTTGAACTATACCTGGACCTTTTGCTAGTTAAATGAAGAATCTCTTAGATTTGCCTGCACAGGATGGCTGTGGACCTTCATTCTCTGATCTCAGCCTCCTGAGTAGTTAGGATTACAGGGTTAAACCCCCAATATGCCTGTCTGCAAAAATTTTCTAAGAAGAAAGTAAAAGAGAAAACGTGTATTTGCTCCCAAGGGCATGGAGCTCAGAGTGCCAGAAGCTGGCTTTCCTCTTACCAGCAGATTCTCTGGCTTGATGTCCCGGTGTACGATGTTCAGGCTATGCAGGTATTTGATGGCACTGGCCAGGTTGTATAGCATCCCACTGGCATCTCGCTCGGTGTATTTGTTAGTGGAAGTAATAGCATCAAAAAGGTCTCCTCCCTGAGAAGAGAATAGCAGTGTAAGAGCAGCATGTTAACAGATGGGCAGATGGGCCCCAGGCTGAGGGGACTGACAGACCATGAAGGAAATGAAGAATAGATGAGGATCTTTGGGTTCTTGAGGGCTTTCCCTGCCTCTGCCTCTCAAAGACCCAAAAACTCTAGGAAGATTTCTTTCTTCATTAGAAAAGACAGTCTCCCTTCTGCTTGAGCTAAAAGGAAAAAGCACTCTCCAGTAACAGACAGCGGCCAGCTCCACAGCCCCCAGGGAAGGGGAGGTGGAGGTAGACTTGGATCCCCAGATCAGAGGCCTAGTGACATGTGGATGTCCTGGTGGCATATGCTCCCAGCATTACACCAACTGCCAGCATAATGACACAGTCATAGCCTTAAACCTCCTCCAAGGATATGCAGGTAATTCTGTAAATTGCACCCTTAACAAAATGTTCCTCTGCTGCCGAAATTGTTCCTCTGCCTCTGAAATTATTAACATACACATGTGCATGCTCCCCTTGATTCTCTAGATTTAGCTCTGTCAGAGTGGGTGTAGTGTTTCTTTCTCTCTCTCTCTCTCTTTCTCTCTCTCTCTCTCCTCCCTTTCTCTTCCTCTCTCTCTTTAATGTGCTTCTTTGTAAGGATCACAGAAAAGAAGAACCAGAAATGACTAGATGAGGGAGAGAGAAAGGGAGGGGGAGAGGGTGGAGAAATTTCAAAGCAAGTTTTCTAGGACTATTATTCACTGGCACTTTTACTTCCCTTGTTCTTTGCTAATTTATTGCTACTTGGTGAAACAGCATAATTTTAGGGTCCATTTTAAGTTCCATTTATTTGAAGCCCTTTCAGAGAATTTGCATCTGATTTACAAAAGATGTTTGCGTCTTCTTACGTACAATGCACCCAAGAGCCCAAACTCCAAAATGCTTCCATCTGTTACTTAATTCGATAAGGGACTTGCTTTTTCTTCTCAAAATAGCAGAAGCAAAAGATAGCCCTGGTTGGCGAACAATTTCAGATATCAACATCTGGTCTGGCCTCTCTGTATCATCTTTGCTCTGGAAACTTCTCTCACTGACCAGTCAATAGAATCATCCTTCTGGACCATCTCACATGTAATCATTAGAGTGAAAGACTTCTCTGTATCGTCTGGGTTTGCAGTCCTGTGGCTACAGAGTCACGCTTCTCTCATCCCAAGCTCTTTCTGCCAGGCATCCTGCATTCTGACCCCACCTTCGCCGTGCTGAGGTACTGTTGTCTTTAGGACTTCACCACCCTTTCCCATATCCTGAGAGGAAGGAGGTCTGTGTTCTGCCCCCAAGCAGTCCTCCCAAATTATTGTATTTCTTCTCTTTATACTGCATGCAGAAGATTCCTTCCTTGGTTGGAGGGTTTTCAAGAAGGATGAACCCCAAGCTTGTCCTCCTCAGCCCCAAACCCCTTTTCCAAATGTTTCTTCCTCTCCTTTTTTGTGTATGCTAACTCCTGGGGCTCTCTGTGGCCTCAGGAAGGGCCAACTTCTCTAGCACATCTGCCCTTCTCTGAACACAAGAGCAATTTGTATATGTAATGGAAGGAGTCTGAAGATCGGGTTTTAATAGGAAATGCCCTCTTAAAAACTGCCACGACACTGTAGCTCAAGTGGTAAAGTACTAGCCTTGAGCTGAAGAGCTGAGAGACAGAGCCCAGCCCCAGAGTTCAAGCCCCATGACGGACCACCACCACCAACAAACAAAAAAAACCCCAAAAAACTGCCACTAGACTCTCTCCCAGAAAACACTCCTTATTTGTCCCATAGCTTCAGGCAGTCCTTATCAATCCATTGGACCCTTTGAGTTTGAGAAGAATGGCCCTACAGAAATTTCTTAGAGATATCTCTGTGGAGGCCTTAAAGTCCAGAGTATGGTTGAACTCACAAGCCAGGCCTTCCCAGGGAGCTTCCAGGCTCAGCTCCAGGAAGCCCTGGACATGACCAAACCTAGAGGATGGTCTAGTGGCCCAACAGAGGAGTCCTAGTGTTACACTATAGGGCCTCTCACCCTGGGAGGATATCTTGGCTGTGCAGACAAAATTCACACAGACCATTAAGTATAATGAAGGCCCTATTGCAGTCATCGGACTAACATGCTTGCCACAGCGATGAAGCTTTCTCATAAAGTGTCTCCTCAACACTTGAGCCTTTGCCTCTGTTTGTTTCTTAACTGCAAATTGCAGCTCTACCAAAAAAAAAAAAAACAGTCAGCGGATGGGAGCTGTTGAATAAAGACAGAGGTTTTATCCATTTTCTATGTCACAGAAAGGGGGGCAATGGGAATTTTGATGTAGAGAGTAAAATAATATTTTTGATACTAAAGGAAGTGTAATTTGATAGGTTGGTCAGAGGGAGTAATTTGATAATAAAGTATCAATATGGAATCTTTGTTCTGTAGAACAAGTTTAATATTTTTACCTCCAAAAAAAAGTCATCCCCAGCCTCAAACGTGACTGTAAGCTTGTGCTACTGTGCCACATCTCTCTAAAAAAGCAAGTTATAACTTGAAATAGGAAAATATCCCCAAACCCTATAAATAACCATTAAGTTTAAAAAATACAATGGGCCAGTGAAATGACTCAAACCTGTAATCCTACCTACTTGGGAGGCAGAGATCAAGGAGGTCAGCCCAGGTGAGAATGAGAGACTTCAACCCAACCAAAGGCTGAGTGTGGCAGTGTACACCTACTATCCCTAGGGACATAGGAAAACACTTTGGTATGGAGATTATAGCCCTGGTCAGCCGAGGAATAAAGTGAAACCCACCCTTAGAAACAATGAATGCGGGGGCTGGGAAGGTGGCTCAGTGGTAGAGTGCTTGCCTTGCATGCCTGAGGCCCTGGGTGCAATTCCTCAGCACCACGTTAAGCAAAAAAAAAAAAAAAAGCCGGAAGTGGCACTGTGGCTCAAGTGGTAGAGCGCTAGCCTTGAGCTGAAGAGCTGAGGGACAGTGCCCAGGCCCAGAGTTCAGGCCCCACGACTGGACCCCCCCCCCCAAAAAATGAATGAGTGTACAAAGGGGCTGCAGGTGTGTCTGTTAAGCTCAGGATAAGAGAAATTGAGTTCAACACTCAGTACTACCCAAACCAAAAAGCAGCATATTTTAAAGTAAAGCAACTATGAACGATGACAGCTTTAAGGCTTTTTTTAAAGGAAATATGAACATATTTCTAGATAGCAATAGGTTAAACATCTTCCTATATAATAAATTGGCTTGCTTAATGTGTTCCTTGTCTTCAGTCTTAGGAGGAAAAAAGAAAAAGAAAGAAAGAAAATCCCACAGTGCAGTCACCAGCTTGGGTGTAGAATTCCAAGCACAGCTCTTGGAGCCTATGACTCTGAATACTAGTACACAATTAATGTAGGAGTTAGTGCAAGTAATTTATGCCTAACAGAAAGCATTCAAGCTTTCAGTTGCATTAGCCTATTAGAAAAGGCAATGAGAAAAAGATAACCTCATATCAATAAAGCATGACAATTCTACAAACCTCTAATTACTGAAAATTTCAACATACGTGAGTAGAATAGATACCTTCCATCTTCCATCTACATTCAACTATTATCAACACATGACTATCCATCAAATGCTGTCCAAGATGAAAAAGTAATTTCAAGAGACAAATGATATTACAATATCCACTGACAGGGAATAGACTGCTTATATTACTTTTTAGGATGGTATTATTATTATATTAGGTTGGTGACTAAAAATTCAAAACTTGCTTTCACAAAATTGTTGATACCTTTGGGTGGAGTTGAACCAAACAGTTAATATTCTCCCATAACAATAATGGCAAAGATCATATTCATAGCTAATGCTTTCTGTCTGCCTCACACCAGCTGGTAGAATCAACTCATTTTTCTTCTCAAAATAACACTATGAATTTAGTACTGTTATTAAATTCACTTTACATGTGAGGAAACTAAGGTCTAAGGAATTATACTCAAGGTCATAGTGCTGGGACCAGTTCCTTGGGCAGTATAATATTATCATTAATAGTCTTTTTTTCTTTTTCCCTGGGGCTGGAATCCAGGGTCTGCACATGTCAAGCAACGCCTCTACCACCGACTTAGACTTCATGTTCTCTCCCTATTAGTATTCTTGGTCACTGTACCAAAGCACAGAAATGAGAGACTAGATAATGGTAGGAGGAAGTTAAGGACAGAGCTCTATCATAGAGGAAGGCAGAATGTCTTAGACAGAAATTCCTTGCATTTGTCAAACACGTACCTTTACTAATTCCATGACGAGATAGAGCTCAGTTGGCACATCCATCTCCTCAATCAGAAGCACAATATTGGGATGCTTCACTCTTCTTAAAATCGACACCTCATTTTGGATCATGTGCTCCTATTCAAGGGAACCATGGTCTTACTCAACATATACAAAACATATGAGCACCTTACTTGACAGTACAACTATACTGTTTGAGGATTAAGGCAGATATATTTTGGTAAAGTATAATGATATTTGGAGAGCCTAGATTTTTCAGAAGATAATGAAACTTAGGACCTATCATGACAACTATAAGTTCCTATACAAGAGTGAAATGAAACTTAGATCACAAAAGTAAGGGGTGGTTATAAAGCAAAGGGAAGGAACATAAATGATATCCAATCATTACAACTAACTTTCATTCTTGGATTATTTATAAAGTTATATTCTAGTAAGTTTAAAATATTCTGCCCCACAAAAATGCAACTCTAAGCTTGTGTTTCTTTGGGAGTTGATCTATTTCTTTTTACCCTCAGAATACTACATTCATAAGAATAAACTTTATACATACTTTGCCTCGACATTTACTTTTCTTGATAATTTTCAGAGCATACTCTCTAGCAGTTGACCTGCAACAAGAAATCAACAAAAACCTTTAACTTTAGATCAGTTGAATCATTTTGCTATGCATTAACATCTTACTTCATCAGTATCTTATAATGCTCCATTCCTTCCTTAAACAAGAACCATGTAAATATTTATAAGCATCAATTTTATACATACTTTATAGGTTGGCAAAACTCAAGAACAGCTAATGTAGACAGATCTTGAGCTATATAGGTTGCTACTTTTTAAATAAATATACTACCACTACTACTGCTTTCCTTCCTTAACTCCTGTTAACTTGCTTCTCCTTCTTCTTGGAAGTGTTATACATAGCAGGATATATGTGTTATACATAGCAAGATATATGTTCCTGACTTCCTCCTTGTCCAGCCCCGTCTGCTCTCCCCTATACCCCACAACACAGGGTCTTGCTCTGTAGTTCAGGCTGGCATTAAACTCAGAATCCTCTGCCTCTGTCTTTTGAGTGCTGGCATTACAGGTATTCCCCATCATACCCAATGTCAGTCTCTTTTGAGAGGTAAATGCTTTTGACAAGGGGCAAAAGCAATCCATTCTGCCTTAATTAAAGGTATGGACTTAAAAGCTCAAGGTTGCTCCTCCTGCACTGCCTATAGATTCTTCAAAAAAATCTACATGGCTATGACAGAGGGAGAAATGAGCTAAGTACAAGCTTGGACACTGGCTATCCCTACACTCCCTTCTCCCCAGGCCATCAGTAAGGAAGTGGAGTTAGAGGGGGGAAGAAGCACTTCAGTAAGAGGTGAAACATATTAGTGCCTATTAGAAGTGGGAAATGAGAAAGCGAAGCTAACTCACCTACACAGAACTGCCTCACCTTGGAAATGCCCTGGGTGGTATAAGTCTACAACTCTTTTTGGGTTTCAGGAGTTTCTTCATAAGAGGCTTCTGAAGATTTCAAAAATTTGCAAATACTTGAGGAAAACTAGAAGCTGAAGGGTGTGTTTATTTTTTAAGGAATCACTGACATGTTATGATACGCAAGTCCAAGATTCAAATCTATGAGCAATTTTCTCTCATTCAGAATGTTTCATTTGGTGGCCCAGTAGATTCTATGCTCATTTGCCTTGACCCTGCCGTCAGTCCCAGACAGAAAGAAGGAACGGGGGATGACACTTTGTGAGAGGCTCAAATTCAAACCTGGCTTTTCCCTCTATCACTTTCTCAAACAGGTAACTGGATGGCCAGGTAAAGAAGAAGGCTCCTTAGTTTTGTGATTCCTGTCTACCCATTATCCTCCTTTCCCTTGAAGGAGTAATATTAAAGTACTACAAGTCCATGAGCTGCTGTAGGACCCAGAAAGCCAAAACCACCTCCACAACCAAGTCAGGAAGCAGAATCCCCAGTGAATGGGCATCTGGCTTGGCTCCCAGGATGTCAAGCTCATGGGCTCTGTCTTAGGCCTGAAGCTGAAGGGAAGATGAAAGCAACTCTGGGCTGAGTTCCCAGAGTTCCCTGGGATTTCCCTCCTGATACATAATACAATCAAACATTCCATTCCATTGACCTATGTTTCAGATTGGACAAGGAGCCCCCCATATCACAACTTTTCTTCTGGACGGCTTGAGGGAAGATCGCTAAAGCCATAATAAAATCTTTAATTACTAGAAGTACATGTTTTCCGAAAGTAGTTCATTTGCAAAATGAACCCCCAAACACATGTTAAGACTAAATGTAAGCCGTAAGAATAAAAATGTAAGTACAGATCTTAAGTGGAAACACTTAGCAAGAAATAAAACAGGAATGTCTTTGCTTTCCTCCCTATTTTGAGCTTTGAGGAATTCTGTGCCTGTGTAATTATTCCATAGGTAGTGATGAGCTGAAATGAATGAACTGCCTTTGTTGTTGTTGTCAGTCATGAGGCCTGAACTCTGGGCCTGGGTGCTGTCCCTGAGCTCTTCAGCTCAAGGCTAGCACTCTACCACTTGAGCCACAGCGCCACTTCTTCTGCTTGTATGGGGCTGAGGAATCGAACCCAGGGCCTCATGCATGCAAAGGCAAGCACTCTACCACGGAGCCACCTTCCCAGCCCCTGAACTGCCTATTTTTTATTGATGTTTTACACTGGTATCTAGAGCTTGTACTCAGAGCCTGAGCACTTATTCATTCAGGCTGGAGCTCTACCACTTGAGCCACAGCTCCTTTCCCAGCTTTTCAGTGGTTAATTGGAGCTAAGACTCTCAAGGACTTTTCTGACCATGCTGGCTTCAAACCACTATCCTCAGATCTCAGCCTCCTAAAGAGCTAGAATTACATATAGGTGTGAGCCACAGGGACCTGGCCTAGACTGACTCACTTGTTCTCAGGAGTTTGATATATGGAAAAACACTCTAGACAACTGGCTTGCTGGTGGTAATATGGGACATTTGCTTGTTTGTTCTTGAAATAATGCCCTTGGCCTTGTACAGACCCCTATAGGCTATAAAACAAAAAAGCAGTAGCAACAGAAGCTTCACCTTTTTTCTTGAACAGAGGAAATTAATTTGCATGTTGACCTTCCTATTAAGTATGACCTAAGAATAGTGCCTGAATTACTAGAGGGAAATCTCCAAATTTCAATTCAAACTGAATCCAGTTTTGTATGTGTTTACTTGAACTGGAGAAAATTATCTTGGTTAATATAACCATTCTCAATTGCACCAGTTCTAATACCCCCCCTACCCCCACCCCATTGCCCCAAGTAATAGAATATTATGGAAAAGGGAATGGCTATTAAAAACTGGGATGCTCTGGTCAGGTGCTAGTGGCCCACACTTGTAAATGCTAGCTACTAATCAGTTGAGGTCTGAGGATCAGAATTCAAAGCCAGTCTGGACAGAAAAGTCTGTGATACTTTAAACACCAATTAAGTCAGAAAAAGGTGTAGCTCAAGTGGTAGAGTGCAAGCCTGGAGTGAAAAAGCCAAGCAGAAATTTGAGGCCCTGAGTTCAAGCCCCAGTGGCAAAACAAAACAAAAAAATAAAAGTGGGAATACCTTTGCTAGGAGTTTTCCTCGTTTGCTACATTATGTAAGTTTACAACAGCTTATGTGACAAGGGAATCTCTGCTGCCCAAGCATCCTGCCACAAAGCATTGATTTAATTCCATAGCAGTCCTGTGGCACTAAGGTTTTAAAGATGCCAGAAATACCCAGGAGGGCCTGAGCTCCTGGTAGCTCCACACTTGGTTGAGTTGGTGCTGGCAGCTATGTAGTGGAGTGACGCAAGGACCAACCCTCAACAGAGGAAGCCTCAACAACAATCTTTGTTCATCGAATTACCATCACCTAGCCCGACCCCTCCTCTATGAGGAGGTCACAGAAGATGGCAGCCAACTGAGACTCTCATCCAGTACCTCCATGTCCAGTTTTCTTTCAGGGTTTCATGGCCTGTAGGGACCCAGGCAGGAAAGAAAGAAGAGCACCAACTAGCAAACCCAAAGGTATCTAAGCCGATATCACCTGATTCATCGCTCCATCCCAGTTCCACAGGAAGTTTCTCCAGACTCTGGGAACATGATTCTTGAAGACTGTGGAAATGGTCTGTCCCTGGTAAGGCTCACCATTTCTATATGAGTCATAGTCTGTTTACTAGATTGCAAGAACCAACAGTTCTATGGTGCCATTCTTCAAATAGAGACGGGAGCACTAATACCTAGGATTTTTATATAGTTAGAGGTAAAAGATACTTCCAGCAAGCTCTTTACTGGTACTCTGACCTCTCATTACAGTTTTCCAGCTCTATGAGTTTGCCTTGGTGGACTCAAAATGTCTCTTCCAGTTGAAGTTATTACCTTCCCTTCATAGGCCTTAGGAGCTCCACAGAGCACTTGAACAATTGCTCCTAGTGCACAGGAAGAAATCTCCATGGACCCAGCCATGCATTAGCAAAAGGATATGCTGGCACAGTATCACAGTAGGGCAGAGCTGGCGACTGTTCCTGTGTCCACTGTAGTAGAGAAACCTTGCCTGTGACATTGTATTATTATCAGAGAGGACACGTACTTGCCCTCATTAATACATATTCATTCCTCATAATATGGTGAGACGTACCCCCCGAGAAATCTGCGCCATTCACAACATTCTTAGTTCACTTTTATATATTTCGGGACCTCTGGAAAATATTAAAAGAATGTTTCATGATACCTCCGGGAAGAAAGGGCACATGCCATATGTCCTTGTTCAACAGGAGCCAAATGCTAACACTTTTGAGGCAATCTGGTGTTTAGACTGAAGTTTCATACAGTAAGACCCAAGATGGAAACTCATGCAAAAAGAATGCAATCCAAGTTACAAAGGACAAACATGAATTAATTCTGGATGGAGACATGGGAAATCTCTAGTAGGAGGAGACTAGATTTATTGGACGGAAAAACCATTGTAATGCATGGCCCAGCTAGAAGAAGTGACACGTGGTCACCATGTCAACCTAACAGATGATGAGTCCTGGTAAATGACCAGACACCCCATAGAGAAAACACTGTGCAATCTGCTAAATACAGAATACTCTGCTACAGTGGAAAAGATGTTAAAGAGGGCTAGATTTGCTATTGGTTAAAATATCAATTTAATAGAAATTATATAAATGTATGCACACAACTATATATACCTATCACACACAATATTCGGTCTTATTTGTCCAGGGCCAAATGTGATACATATGCTTTGGCTCAGCTAAATTTCTTATCAGAACCTTGAGGAAAAGTTCTTACTAGAAGCAGTGGAGCTGGGAGACTAGAAGTGTAGGTTTAAGGGCAAAGCTCTGATCTAAGCACTGATGAGCTGAATGACCTTGGGCATTTCAATTCTCCAGTCCTTTTCTATACTGGGATGGTAACACTGACATTACAGGATTATGATGACAAGGTAGTGAGACATATTGAGTTAAGAGCCTTGTCAACAGTTTATATTCAATAAACTCTGTTTATGCATGCCCTTATTTGAGGAGGTGTGAGGCCCATGATAATAATGGGACATTTGTTTGGAGTCTGGCGGTACACTCTGTAAGTGAGTGGAAAAGAAGAGACAGGTGACTGGGAAGCTTCCTCTTACTAGTTACTCATGCTCTGTCCTCATAGAGAGGGGTTGCTGAGACTGATGTGGTGTAGTGGAACACAAGGTTTGGTAGGAGAATAGCTTAATAAAGGCTCTGCTACTGCGGTTGGGGAAGGGAGGTGTCTTCTGAAGGGTGACAAGGGGTGGCAGGCAAATGTGGTGGACACTGGTCAAACATAGAACCTTGCCCCCTATCTGATAGACCTTCATCCATACTGGCTTGGATTTGAACTTTCTAATGAAAAAGAAAGACTGGCTCTTCTAGGCCGATGTTTCCTGCTGTCTTCTGGTCTGAGATATCTTCAGGCATATTCAGAAACTGGTGGAGCCACTAGGAGCAAAGAAGGGCAACAGGATACATCAGGCCCACTTCCACAAAGCTAGAGGACAGTGATTCAGGGAAGTGCCCCTTGATTTCCACACTCTGCCCACCTACCACTGAAAAGAAGCTGTGGCTGGGCTGGTCCCTTAAAGCAAGCAGCTGCCTCAGAAGAAAATTGCAAATCTGACTCTGAGCTGAAGGCCTGAGGTCACTTAGTCTAGGTTTGAACTTTACTGTCATATCTCAATCCACAAGCCACCAGTTACTGCCCATGATTAGTTATCAAGAATGCAGAGGATAAACAATTCTCTCTCAACCCTTCCATCTGGTTCACAGACTACCTTTAATCTTAACCTTTAATAAAGTGATCACACTTTAATGGATCAAATATTGATTTTGTTGGGGTCAGTACATATACATTTTAAAGCCTTTCACGATTAATGTTATATATGATTTTAGAGTAGTATTTACAGATCAAACATTATAGAAGGCTGTTCTAGTCTCTACAAAAATTCCTCTAAAAAGTGTGGGAAAAAGTACTCAATAAGACTTTTCTAATAAAGATACAAACTTACCTGAAAGAGCTGGCAATGTTTCACCCAGTACAATAAAAGCAAAGCAAAACAAAACAAAAAGCCCCGAAGTCTTTATTTACTAGATCTTGTCCAGGAATCACTACATTTTTCAAGTCTATTGTTAGATGGTATTTCTTTAAAGACTTTTTTTTTTGCATCTGGGATTCAAACATTAACTTATTCCATATGTGCCACAGAGTGCAAGTAGAGACATTATCTTGGATAACATAATGCCAAATGTTTCCTTTAAAGTTCCATGCAAATTATATCTTTCTCACCTCTCTACGCACTCCTTGACAACAGCAAAATTCCCATCTCCTATTGTCCTCCCGACTTTATATCGTTCTGTTATCGTGGCTGGAATCTGGAAGCCTTCCTCGGACACTTCTGGAAGAATCATGAATATGTTTTTATTGGTAGAAAAGGGGACACAGATGTTGAATCAGGAGACATTCAGAAGTATCCTCTTATAGACTGGGACTGATTTAGAATCAATATATCATTTTCTGTATATGACGTAATTGCATACCCTCCCTCTAAGACCATGTATATACTCAACAGTTTTTACTAAGACAAATGATGAACTAAAAGGAATCAGATGGGGTCTACCTCCACTTATATAAATACAAGTAAAATTTTCTCCTGCAGTAACGATTTGAAAGAGAAAGCTTCATTTTTTTCTCCTTCCTTCATGCTAATTTGATTAATCCCATTTACTGAATACCCACTGTGTTAAGAGGAATGGCATTCCTATACACAGTACAGGAGAAAAATACAGTTCTTATGCAACTCTGGGCTTCTTGACATTGTTCAAGCATGAAAAATACTTGCTGTTTGGACACTTTACTACATCCTGAAATGGAGACCTCTGTAAAATTCCTTATGAACTAAGCATTGATTGCCACCCCTCCCCAGTTGGACTGAGCAGACTTTAGACAAATGTTCTCACCACCAACCTGCAGAGCAGATGTTGAGTTAAAATTGCAATATCTATTATGTCTGTGAACAGAACAGTTTTGTACTTTCAATTATGTTAGTGCCACTAACACAACACATTTTCCACCCCTGAAAATGCATTTTCGAATATTTTACAAATGCCTAATAATGCTTTAAATATCTCAGGCCATAAAACTAAATAAGCCATGCTTAGGTCACATAAATATGCTGGATAACCTTTAACATGTTAAGGGTGTAAAAAGCCTTTTATAGCTAGGCTCTAAAATTTACATGCTTTAAAGTTATAAATCCTAGCTCTCTCCCTCAGGCAATCTGAATGCAAACTGTGAGGGAAGCATAGTGGGTTTTCTAAATGTGCTCCTCCTCTGACCTTTCATCATCAATGGAGACTGAATATTTTGTCTCAAAATAAAATAAGAACCTTAAGAGCACGTGTGTGTGTGTGTGTGTGTGTGTGAGAGAGAGAGAGAGAGAGAGAGAGGCTTTCTGGTGTGTTTTGTATACCCACATTTAGTCTATTTTGTTGGGGAATAACAACTAGAGATTCTCAACCATCAGATACTTCAGAACTTCATACTGGCATCATGATAACACTCACTCTGCATTCATGGTGGATGGACTTTCTGGGAAGTGTGGTCTATATTTCCTGCTCCTACTATTGCCCTGGGTGTTTGAGCAGCCTCTTCACTTCTTTTGGTGGCAACATTTTACTGTTAGTCCTCTATAACCTATCTAGATGGTGCCCAGAATAAGTAAGGGCTTGAAGCCAATGTCCTCCTCCCTTCTCCTTGGGAAAGAGACATGATTTTACGTGTTTGAAGGACTCAGCCAGGGGATTGTTATCTGCTCCATGGGATAGGAGAGGAATGATTGGTGTTAAATCTATTGCAAAGCATCTGAGTTTATAAAACATATCTGCAGATGACACCAATTTAAAGCCAGTTAGTTCCGGGGTATTACAAGCAATCATCTTTGGTTGTAGGGTAAATGGGAAGTGGAATAGCTTGGTCATCCTCCCTTCCACGAGAAGCCTGCACTGAGGCATCACCCAAAGCACTACTCTTGGGATTGTTTTCTTCATGATGATTGATAAAGAGAAGTGTACTCAAGGACCATTTCATTTCATTAGAAGAATACACCACATTGGAACAAAAGGGGCTTGTAGATGTCTGAACTACAAATGTTTGGAGATGCAAAAATGTCCCATACTATGTGGTAGTCAGGAAATTATTCTTATGTAAGTCATATGCCTTATTTGATGTAACAAAAATGTCTCCTCCACAGAGTGTTTGGTTTTTTTTGGGGGGGGGATGGAAAGGGTTGGTTGGGATGAGAATATCAATCATATCACTTAAAACAGCAAGAAGAGCCTATGATCTCCCCCCCCAAAAAAAAATTGGGGATAGAACCCAAGGCCTTGCACGTGCTAGAAAGCCTCTACTATTGATCTACATTTCTAGCCCTTGATACTTCAACAGTGGCTTGAACATAATCATTTTAGCTTTTTCCAAGAGTTTTCCCCTAATTGATTTGAGATTGGTGGAATGACCCCCCTGGGGGGGGGTCGTTATTTAACAGAACTAAGATTTGGAGGGCAGAAGAGGTTTGCTCAAAATCATGCAGTGAATTAGTGAAAAAAGTGAGCTCTGGAATCTTAGTCATTCAACCACATCACAGAGAATGAGCTTAAAGAGACAATTTTTTTCAATTGCCACTGAGCCAACTTTTTATAAAGCCACAGTTTATGTTCTCTTCAACATGTGGAAAGTTACTTTCTGTGATTTCTGAAGCAAATAGATTTCTGAAGCTGGCCTCCTAGGAAACATACTCTCATAGGAATTGAAACATCTCCAAATTAGGCCAATTTCTTCTCCCCATTCTTCTAGAGCCATCCTAATCCCAGGTGAGAGCCATATTTACTTCCTATCCCCCAGTGATTGGCTCCCAAGAGCTGTTGGGAGAATAAATCCAGCCAACCCATTCTCTGCTCCCTGTACAAGCTGGGAAAATCCCAAGCCCATCACCTTCCCCAGGGCCATCGTTCTCATCCATCGAACTGCAGACTTTGGTGGATGCAAGTGAAGTAGAGGAGCCGCCATGTTGAGAGCTCTGTAAAGGGACAGAAACAGAAAATAAAACAATTGGGTCAGAGTGACCAGTCTCCATATGCTATGTCCAGCCTGGAGTCTCAGGAGGTAGCTTTGCCCATTCCCAGGGAGGAACTTTGGTCTTCACACTTGGAAAAGAAGTCTTTAGCATATTCAATGATGGCCACCACTCTTTCTGATCCAATCTACCAGTAGCAGGTTGTGTTGCCTGGATCTGGCTAGTTAATGTGCACCTGGACTTTCCAGGGATTTTGATTCCTTTTGCCCAAATGAGCATCCTTTAGCTCACAGTTTGGGTTTGACAAATTTTAGGCATCTGTCTTCAGTCCACTGGCAAGTAGGGCTTCAAATATGGACCATTTTGATCTTATCTGCTATATTTACTATAATAGAGTAATACAGTTGTATTTTTTTTTTACAAAATGTTACCAAAAAAATTCAGCCTTACTTCAGCTCTAAGAAAAATGTAAAAGATTAGGCTTGAGATAGATGGGAGCAATAAAAAGGTTATCAGTCCATTAACTATTATGAAGTCTGAGGTAGAGAGACGAATAAGAGCCTATCAGGAGCAGGTGGCTCATGCCTGTAATTCTAATCAGGAGGCTGAGGTCTATGGATCCAGGTTTGAAGCCAGCCCAGGCAGGAAGTCCTTGAGACTCTGATCTGTAATTAACCACCTAAAAGCTGGAAATAGAGCTGTGGTTTAAGTGGTAGACTGCCAGTCTTCAGCACGAAAGATCAGGGACAGGGGCTGGGAAGGTGGCTCATTGGTAGAGTGTTTGCCTTGCATGCATGAGGCCCTGGGTTCGATTCCTCAGCGCCACATAAGAAAAAAGAAAAAAGACAGAAGTGGCGCTGTGGCTCAAGTGGTAGAGTGCTAGCCTTGAGCTGAAGAGCTGAGGGACAGCACCCAGGTCCAGAGTTCAGGCCCCATGACAGGAAACCCCCCCTCAAAAAAAAAAAAAAAAAAGAAAGATCAGGGACAGTGTCCAGGCCCTGAGTTCTAGTCCCAGGACTGATACAATTAAAAAAAAAGAATGAAAGTCCAAGTCTGATTGTTCCTTTATAATTTTGATGGATTTCTGACTAGGAGCATAAATAAATAAGGTAACAACTATGTCAAAGCACTTAACAGACAACACAACATCCAATATTGCGTATTTTGGCTGGGTAGGGATATACTTTAACAATGTATGGTTTCATTTTTCCCTCTAGTTCTTAAGAACACAAGTTGGGCACATTGCAATGCTATTTCTAAATGGTGAACACAGCTTGTCCTAAAGGCTCTTCCTTCTGCTTCCCTGGGTTTATCCACTTGGTTGGCCTGATGGGAGCAGGAGGCGGTGAGGGGGTGGCATTGGCTCATGCTGCCGGCTGTCTGTGGAGCAGAGAGAAGGGAAAGACCATCTGTAGTTGAGCTGATCATGAAGAGGCAACGAGAAGCAAACTTGACCTACTTTTCCTCGGCTTACCTGTTTCATTCAACCTCCTTCCTACTCCATCTAGCCTTATGTACAAAGTACAGCGCAGTGGGGCGGGGGGAGTTCATTATACCCAACAGCCTTTACAAAGAAAAGATTTTAGTGTGCATTAAAAAACGACTCTAGTAGTTGGAGAATTGCTCTTGTAAGGCAATTTCAATCAAGGGCCATGGAGCATTTTCCTGGGTGGGATGAAGACCAGAGTATCTCATTGGATGAGTTCATGAATGCTGACAGCTGACACAATTGAGATGGAAGTTAATCGAAATGTGTTTAAAATGACAGGTGCTAGTGGCTCAAGCCCGTAACTCTAGCTACTCAAGAGGCTGAAATCTAAGGATTGTGATTCAGAACCAGCCCAGGCAGGAAAGCCCATGAGACTCTTATCTCCAATTAACTACTAAAAAGCGGGAAAGGGAACTGCGGCTTAAGTGGCAGAGTAGTAGCTTTGAGCACAAAAGCACAAAAAGCTCTGAGTTCAAAAACAGGACTGGCACAAAAAAAAAAAAAAGAAAGTGAAACAGGAAATGACACCTTTGCTCCACTGCAAGGACTTCTGGAAGTTTTGTGATCACCTCTGAATCCTTTGAAGTTTATATGGCATTCCCATTAGTTCCCACTATCACAAACTGCTTTCTATCAATAAATTAGGGTTTGAGCTGTCTCTCCATCTTGTCCCCTCAAATCTTTATATGACCAGCAGCACACCTTTGTCATATGTCTAAATAGAAGAAAGATCCATGCCTAGTCATCACATGACACAATGGATACATACCCCATGGTATCAAAGGGACTGTGAACATCTCAGCTCCTAAACCATGCTCTGCTGACTTTTGTGAAAGTCTGTTTGTGTTTATAACATTGGAACAGGAGGCTGAGACAAGGCAGACTTATGCTGATGACTGCAGAAAGTAGACATTAACAGGACCACATGTAAGGGGAAGTGATGTGTTTTCTGAAGCAGTATGATCCTTTATTTCTGGTGCTATTGCAGGAATAATGCTGCTCCAATGAGGAAAGCACTAAGGAAATGTCTAAGATCTAGAATTTCTCTTTTGATTTTCTGGTCCTTGAAATTTCTTCCAGTAGCATTACACGTAGTGCTTCACTGTAATGTGGACACATTGTGGTTTGGGGTGACAGATGCTCCTGTGGCATGTGGTGTTTTATATTTTAGGGTACAAAGACACATTCTTTCATTAAACATGCAAGTTAATAGATCTTCAGTGTGTTTCCTAGCAAGGATAGCCACAGTTTATACGCTCAGTTCTGAATTCTTCTAAAATAAAACTACCAAGCACTTTCAACACAGAATTCTGACCCAAATGCTATCTCTCAAGCTGTTATATTCCATAAGCTTGTTGTGTATTATTCACTAAATTGACTTATCAGCTAATGAATTGTGTTTTCAACAGTGCCACCAAATGTCTGCTGTACTGAATGCTTGCCACAAGGCCAGCTGTGTTTTCTCTACCATATGCATGAAAGAAAAAGTTCCGGAAGGTTTTCAGGCTCTGGTGTGTGTGTGTGTGTGTGTGTGTGTGTGTGTGTGTGTGTGTGTGTGTGTGTGTGTGTGTGTGTGTGTGTGAAGTTTGCTTATGCCGAAGGTTTTCAGGCTCTGGTGTGTGTGTGTGTGTGTGTGTGTGTGTGTGTGTGTGTGTGTGTGTGTGTGTGTGTGTGTGTGTGAAGTTTGCTTATGCCGAATCCAGATTCTTGCTGTTGAAAATATATGCCTGATCATTTTATTTTGGCTGTCTGAGAATAAGCTGATCACTGAGAGTTTTAAGAAAAAACTTATTTACTTATAAGCAAAGTAAATGCAAAGTCCCAGTTTTGTTTATTATGCTCAAACAGAGTAAGATAAATCTATTTAATTTCTAACAGTGTTAGCCCTTCAGTTTGCTAAGGAAATAAGATTGTGAATGCTATGTACTTTTTTAAGACAAAGATCATCCAGGAACTTAAAGAACTTCAGAAACTAAGAGAAGACCTAAATATGATCTATTCCATGCCATTTCCATCAAGAAAACAAATTACTCACTTACAGGAGACCATTTGGTGGCCAAATGACCTTTGCTGAAATGTCACTGGTAAAGACACATGGTTCTGCAGGTACTATCGTAACTCTTACCATGTAGTATACAAAAGGAACCTCTTTAATTTATGTTGAAATTATGTCCTTTGGTATTTTCCATTTATTGTTTCTGCCTCTCATCTCTAGAGTCACCTGGAAGAGATCTACTCTATTTTCCATATGACAGCACTTCAGGTTTTGGGGAATAGCCACTGGGCTTCTGCGTCTACTCTTTTGATTTGCATATTCTCAGTTCCTTTAGTTGTTCTTCATGTGTCAGAGCTCCAAGAGCTCCTTTCACCTCTGGTGAACACATTCCAGCTGTCAATACTACTCTTTATAGCTGGTATTCAAAATTGAATGCAATTTTCTAGGTGTGTTATGACCAGCACAAATGAAAGGAAAAAATTGCCATTTGCTTTCTCTAGAGTAGAATGTTAGTCTACTTCAAAATCATATTGACTTATCAATGGTACCATGTGTTTTAACCTTCCACTGAACTCACAGGTGTGTCTCATTTCCTCAGACTGCATTTGAGAGGTTGGTGTTTTGGACCAACCCCAGTACTTCATACATTCATTCATATGAAATGTCACCTTTATTATATTAATATGCTTCCATCCTGTTACTTTTTGGATTCTGATTTTTGTCACCTAACACTTTTGTGTTTCTTTCTCTTTATTCTCGTTTTCCTTTCTTTCTCCCTCCCTCCCTCCCTCCCTCCCTCCCTCCCTCCCTTCCTTCCTTCCTGCCTTCCTTCCATCCTTCCTTCCTTCCTTCCTTTTCTTTTTTCCTTTCTTTTCTTTCTCTCTCTCTCTCTCTTTATCTCCCATCTCTCTCCCTTTCTTCTGTTCTCTCCCTTTTTCTCTGTTAAAATAATTTTAGTAATCAGTTGGCCTTTTCAATATGGTTATTCCTAAGCCACCTCAATGTACATAACTTCTATCTTCCTAGAACATTTCTCTTATCACCCACAACTGCCTGAGAAAGTTTGAACATAGCAAAATGAAAAGGGGTAAGCCCTTACTCCTTAGAACTGACCTAATGAGACTAGCCTTTATATCTGACCAATAAAACTTGAAAATCTCACCTATATTTTTGATTGCTTCTAAATGAAATCAATTTGCCTATTAGATTTTCTGAGCAGATTAAAACCATTTTAGAAGGAATATGTTACTAAGGTTTTGTGTTTGCTTCAGTCTGTTTGCTAATTCCAAAGCATCTGGGCCTACAGTACAAAACCTACAGTTTATTTTAGAATTTAATGCAATTAGCTGCTCTGAGAGGCGTTCTAACATTTGAAATGTCATCACCTCCCAGCAGATTTAATGGGAACCATTTGGGCAGGTTGCTGACACCTGGATGCTTTTATGGCACACCTTCATAAGAGAACTAAGTCAGAACACATCCTTAAGTGTAGCTTTTTAGCTTGAGATCACATAACAG